TGGCCCGACTTGGTGTGTTGTATTAGGATCTGGAACTTTGTCTCCTATCCAGCTGCACCCAAAGACTTGTCTGCATTCCTCTTTTAGAAGAAACAGGTAAGCAGCCTTCCTAGTCAGTCTGGTGCATTCTGATTGACTGCTATCTCCTTGCAACCCTTTCGGCAGGAGCCAAAATTTGTTGGTTCCACCTGTGCTAGAGCTTGAATATCCTCTCTAGGAAGTGCTTGGAGATCTAAACTCACTGCTCGTCTCTCCTAGGTTGTATCTTCCTTTGCACAGATGCATCAGAACCACAGTACCTCTTGAAGGGGACAGAGACAGCCTGTTACACCTTGTCTTGAAGGGTGCTGTAGACTGGTGCAGGAAGAAAGCAAGATAAACACTACAAGTTATATGGGATGGAGGAAGGGAGGAGAGGTTGCCTGTGTTCTATAATACTGATAACAGAAGAGTGGGGGGAAAAAAATTATTCCTAGAGCTTGAAGGGATTGTTTGTATTGAAAATTTCCTGGGAGTAAAGAAAGGATTTTGCCTTGGATTATTTTATGCCAAAACTAGCTGTGGATCAAATCTCCAACTCAACCTGAACCAAATCTCCTCCAGTGTGTGCAAGGACAAAAGAGTTTTAGAATCCTATATCAGAAATGTACATGCTTGTTCTCCCACTTACCATTGAGCCAACTCCACAGGGACTTTGGTCATGATACTGCAGAGCAGGGATTTGGGGCAGAAAGGAGGTCAGCCCTAGTATAATGCGTGATAAAATGGTCTGTACTTGAACAGAGAAAAGCTATTGTTTTCAGGTGTCAGCGGGTGCATCTACACAAGACAATACGGCACTGTGGTGATGCGCTATGGTGCCGTAGCATCCATTGGCAAAAACTGTGATGCTGCCACTATGTCAGTGTAGCAATGTACTCCCTCATTATAGTGCATTGCTCTGGTGGCATAGTGGCCAAAAATAACCGCGTGCAGCCGGCACTGCACAGGATGGGCTGGTACTGCGCTGTCTTTTAGTACTTCCAAAAAGGAAGTACTAAATGACAGCACAGTAACAAAGGCACCATACAGTCATGTGTAGATGCGCCCAGCTTGTTGGAAATGTTACCCCTTCCTATGTGGAGCCTGCTACCTCTAGACAGAATGACCATTCCTTGGGCTCCTGCTTGTACCAAATACAGTGGATCATCTTCTCAGTGAGTGGAACTATCAAGATCATGCATCTCAGGTTCTGATATGCGAAGCCATCCTGGTTCAGCACCAGCTTTTTCCATAACAGGGATTCACAAGGCAGGTGTTCTCCTTGGAGACCATGCAGCAAGTAAATGGTAGGATGGAGTAAGTGAAGCATTCTTGGTTGAGGGATTTAATTGGTGGATAGTAGGAAACCTGGCAACTGCTGTATGTCAGATAGAAGCCTACGTGGAGACTAAGTTCCTGGAAGGCTCACTATGGCTGCATCTCCAGGTGACGATTAAAAGAGGGTATATGGGATGTTTTGATGTACCATCATGGAGGAAACTGAAGTGATACATGTCTCCCATAATCTAAGTGCCACAGCCTGTCCTTGCTATGTGTTTTGCCTATGAACAAAGGGAGCACTAAGCCAATTCTGCCTCTGTGTGAAGTGTAACTTTGTGTGGTCTTCTGGGTATGTCTAAACCTCTATTTTGGGGTGAGTTGAAGGCCCTCCCTTAACTACTCCCAGTTCCATAAGTCATTCTTCCCAGTGGCATAACAACCAGAGTTGGCACCTGGGGCAAATCCTCTAGGAAAGGAGTTCCCAACCCCCAGGCCACAGCCTGGTACCAGGCCATGAAGGGTTGGCTGCCAGTCCACAGGAGGGTTGGCTGCCAGACTGGAAGTCTGGAAGTGACCACCATACTGCAAACCAGCAGCCAATCCTTTTTTATACTGAGCATAAAAAAGGGTTAGCTGCATGTCCACAGTATGCCAGTCACTGCTGGCCCGCAGTTTCCCGGTCCACAGCCACTTCTGGTCCACAGTTTGCCTGTCCACAGTCACTTCCAGTCCACAGTCATTTCAGATCTACGGTTTGCCAGTCCGCAGCATAAAAAGGTTAGGAACCCCTTTTCTAGGAGGGTGGGGGTGGCATGCAGATTCTGAGAAAGGGGGACAGCATGCGGTTTCCAAGAGCAGGGGCAGTGGCAGGGGATGAGGGGGCAGAGTACAGCAGTGTTTCCCATGCCAGGAAATCTAAAACAGTCCCTGGCTGAGCTTCCACTGCTGCTGCTGCTGCCCCCACAAGCTTTGCCCACCCAGGCTGTTGCTCTTAAAAAAGCAGCAGGCAGAGACTGTTTTGGAGAGCCTAGCATAGGTGTGCAGTCAGAGCCCAGACTCTGCACCAGTGTGGGGTAGTTACAGCGCCCCTCCTAAGTTGGTACCCTGTATTAATTAATTATCTCTTATCCATCCCTAGTTATACTACTGATCCTTCCCCATCTTTACTACTTCGCTATTGCAGCAGGCAAGAACCACAGAAGGAGAGATTAATAGAGGGCAGGGTTATTACCAGATGAATATGAACAGAAAACTCAAAAGGAACGCTTCTAGGAAACACCCCTCCACCCCCGCAACTACTTCTCTTTCCTTTTGTGCTTGTTTTTAATTAAGGACAGGGATTAGAATGCAAAATGGCTAGTGGTGGACTTCTTATGTTACACACACTGCAGAGTGACTTTCTTGAGCTGAGCTAAGATGTTGGTGCAGGAGCATTCAATATCAATGGAAAACCTAAATAGCAATGGAAAACCAGAAGGAAAGCAGCAGAGAGTGGATGGAGGGTCCCTCACCCTGAGGAATAACTAGACAAAGGCTTAAAAAGGACTTTCAGGAGAACAGAGCAAGTTTTCTTGTGTCTGTGTTGCGGTGGTCGAGGTGGCCCAGTGAGAGAGGATAAACCTAGGAAAGGGATATGCATGAGCCAAACAGGTTTTTGGTCCAAAGGGAGTGGCCAGTGAACTCTTATGGGACAGATATAGGGCCAGTACCAGGGCAACATGTAGGGGGTGCATGTAGGTGTATGTGCATCCCCTGAGCGTGACGGTGCACCACCTACAAAAAGGCACCTCTGAACGGACGCCGCTTGCCACCCCACTGCCAACACTGCCAGCGGCGTCTGTGGGAGCTCCCACTTACCACCACCGTGCTCCTGCCACCGCCATGCCCCCCAGCCACCGGGGGCACGTGTCGTTCATAGCCAGTACAACAGGGAGTATATGAAAAGGACAGCTGCCTGTCAGGGCAGGCAAAGCCCATGTCACATGCTTACGGAAGGGCTCCCAGCCACACAACAAACTCTGTAGCTTGACCAAAAGGACTAATAAGAAATATGCTACTACTTCTGAATGGACTGAGAGAGGTTTCCTAGGTAATAGGCCTGAAGATGCTAAATCCTTTACAGTTTGTTCCCAGCAATGAAGTTAAGAATTACTGGGTGCATCAACACATGCAATTAATGTGCTTGAATCTTCTGCATAGAAAATTCAGGCGTATTAAACTGTGGCCTCACATGCATCTGAATGTGCGCCAGTCAGAAGCAAATTTTCTCCCAACAGGAGCAGTTCAATCCAGGGCTTCTCCTGCCCTGTTCTGCCCCATTGCAGCAGACACGGGGAGCTCTAGGCTCCCCCGGGTGCCAGTCCCAGGCTGGCAAGGGACATGGAAGCTGGTCCTGTCTCCATAGGGTGGGGGAGAACTGTCCTGGCTGCCCGCTCTCCCTGCCCCGTGTAGCCCCTGCTGCTTAAGCTGACTAGGAGCAATTTGCTCCTGGTCAGTGTCTAGATGTGTACTTCAGCGCATTAATTTAATACGCCGATTTCTAGTACCTGTATCTACAGGTACTAGAAAACAGCGTATTAGACTAATCTACTGCACAGTAATTGCTGTTCATGTGCAGATGGTGACACTTTACTGTGCATTAGATTAGTCTAATGCTCAATAAAACATCTCATGTAAACACACCCACTGAGTACTCAGTGAAAGCAGCTTCTTGCTTTTTTTGCCCATTTGGGTAAATTATGACATCCTTAGGCCACATGCCCAGGCACTTAGGGGGACTACCAGGTGACAGACCCCAAAGACATTCATGTAGCAAGGCGTGGGTGATGAAGACACCACCCCTGGCACTCACTTAGAGGGGACACAACAAGCATGGCAGCTGTCACCACAGCCAGCCCAGCTACCACCGCTGCTGCAGACAGCCTGTCTGCTCCTGCTGGCTCTGCTGCTGCCACCACCCAAGGCACAGAGCCCTGGTAGCTATGCCTCTGCCCAGTGGGAATAGATTAAATGCTTTGAAATCACCTAACGTGCCATAAAGTATCCCAAGGGGTTTGCTGTCTCCTCATGCTGCAGCTATCCTATTAGGTGCTAGCCAGTTTTGCAGCTGCTAATGCAATGGGGACTCCCAGCCATCTCAGAGCTCGGTGCAATCACATGGCTTGAACTGCTCTAACATTGCCCCTGGTGTCAATTCAGGTGGGTAGATTGGTGCTGCTGCCTCTGATGTTGTGACCTTTCATATGGTGGCTCCAGGCTGCTCCATATGTAACTGCACAGTGCACAGGTCCTTGAGAGTAGCTCTCAGGATAACACATGGTCCACAGTTAAAGCTATGCTGTACTGCTTTTGAGAACACCGTATGATAAATAATTTGTAGTAACACATGGTTTTAATTTCTTTAATAGAGATTGTGTTTTTCTGTAGAAAGCACTGAAAAGCTACATAATTAATCAACCTACTACTCATGTATAGCGTTGGAGACATCTGTGCATTTAGAGTGGTGCTTAGTTTTCCAAAGTGACACAACCATGTGTTGATGTTCTGGAAAATGCTTGATCAAACCCATCGTGTCCTCAGTTTCCTGTCTTTAACAGGCTGGGTATAAGGAAGCATGCTGTCCCAGCATTATTTGCAACAGAAAATGAATTAGTTACATTAATGTGTTGCCCCCAGAAGCAGGACCACTGCTGACTTACCACGTCAATTATCTGTAGCAGAGACAATTGTAGCTCCACGAGAAGAGGCTGGGAGTCATTCACCACAGGCCTTTCAAGGCGATTGTAGTTTTTCAGCAGTTCTCTATACAAGCGCCTCTGGCTCTCGCCCTGCTGAGAAACTTGCAGAAAAAGAGAGAATGATGTTAATTAGGCAGCCTGATCAGATCGGAAGGTCCATTTGATTTTGGATGATCTTGGTCTGATTTTGAAAGCTGAATCACAGAAAGTAAGGGCCTGTCTCTTTGCTCATGCTATTTTCCACAGCTCCATAAAACCCTGTGTGCTTATAGGTACCATGTGCCTGTTTCTATTGCACTACAACCGAAGAGCTTGAGCTGTGTGAGCTGACCAGAAACAGTTAGCTTGCTTTGTCAGAAAGGCACTGCCGAAGCACTAGGTCTGTCTAAGGCAGTAGTGCCCAAACAGGGAACTGCGGGGACCTATCACTTCTCCCAGCAAACTCAGACAACTGCAGATTTCTTATCACCAGCAAACTTACAATTTTGGTTGGTCTGGCAAATGAGGAATTACATGGGCTAATATGCCATAGGATGCCTTACTGGTTCAAACCAGGGGCCTTTCTAAGCCCAGCATCCTGTCTCTGGCAATGCTCAGGAGTTATTCTTTCAGAGGCAGACACAAGAAACTCCTGTATGGGTAGTGTGAGGGTTATGTGGTTGAACTATTTTGATGTTCCCTGCTGAATGTAATATTTTTGGATGGGTTTTGTTCTGGCAGGGAAAGTGTTAATGGCTGGATTGCAGTGGGGCTAGGTATGACCTGGCTCATGGCACTGGGCCCTCTGGATGGCGCTGGAAGGGCCTTTCCTGAGAACTGGGCTCTTTCTATATATAAGCAGGGGAGCTGGAGAGTGCATATGCATATGCCTGTGTGAGTGTCTGCCAGTACACAGCTTGCTGGAGTCCACTGAAGCCTGCTGATGCGCTGCCCCAGAGGGCAGAGACGAAGGGAGTCTGCCTCGTGGGAATTGCAGCTAGGAAGTCTGGAGCGATGGGGCAAAGACATGCTGTTAAGGCGGGCAGGGAAGCCGAGACCTCCAGGGATGAGAGGCAGTTTCACTGCAGAGACAGTGAGGAACAAAGAAGTAAGCACTGGGCAGGGGTGACAGTGAAGTGCTAGGCGGCAGCCAGTGTTGAACTTTTATCTTTTTTGTTCTGTCTACCCCAGGCCTGTGGTCCTGTTTTTCCCTGGTTATTCAATTTGGCCTGTTTTTATCCCTGAAATATGTCTGTCCCTGTAATTTGGTATTTCACCTCAAGGTAAGTTTGCCCTGTCATGGTCTTGGCTATAACTCGGGGTCCCCTCACAGGCAGTTATAGAGTAGTATGCTTATAGGGCATTTGCTTCCCAACCCCAGACACAGGGGCTGCCTTATGGTGGGAAGCATGGGAGTGGAAAGTGTGTGGCTAAGTCTATGCTATGGTAGATGACCAAACATGTTCTTACTGTCCATGGATCTGGTTGTGGCAGACAATCATATGCTAAGTGTGGGAAGTAGTGAGGACTCCCCATTTCCCTGCCCTTTGTGGGGCCAGAGCAAACTGCAGCCTCTGTGCTCAGGAGGGTACAGGCTGCCTGTCCAGATCTTCTGCCACAAATGGTGGAAAGAAGGCAGAGCTATGACTCTGGTGAATCACATGCCAAGTAATGGACCAGGGGAGAGAGCTGGGCTCCATTGAAATCAATTGCAAAACTCTCACTGAATTCATCAGGGTCAGAATTATCACTCTGAGATACTGCAATTAAATGAGGAGAGCTGTGGACAAGGGGGTTTCTCTGGTATTTCGTGCTGCCCCTGGGAAGAAGCAGCTCTGAACTGCTACAATGACAGATAGTAACAAATAGGCATGTCTGGCTCCACGCAAATGTCTAATCCTTTTAAAATCCCACCAGACCCCTTTCTTTCATAAACTTTGCTGTGGTGAGTCCCGCGCTGTGGAACTGTGTGTTGCAGGAGGAGGATAGTTACATTCCTAATCTTTTAAATTCCTTGTAGACTTTTAATCTTTACTTTCAGTGGATTCCCCTTCTTTGTACAGGGAGAGAGGCACATTTGCTCCTATTTACCTCCCATCTTCTCTGGGACACACATTATTTTGTAAACCTCTGCTTTTCCCTCTCCACCCTCCCCCCCACTCTTGCTTTTTCCTTCTCTCCATCAAAATGTCTTTAACTTCCACCTATATGGAAGGCTTTCCAATAATAAAGCCGTCTAGTAATTTCCATTGCTCTTTTCTCTGTCTCTAAGCAGAGCAACCTTTTCCTGAGATAGGGTGACCCAAATGAATGCAGCATTCAAGGCAAGAATGTTTCATTGATTTATGCAATGGTATTACATTAATTGCAGTCATATCCCCATACCCTGATGTTGCAAAGCACTTATATATGTGCTTAATCTAGCTTCACCAAAGTATATATATTCACGTGGTGTGTAAGAATATTAATGATTAGGAGTTGCTTATTATGCATGTACAGTGCCTGGCACAGTAATGACACTATCTCTGGTTGGGGGCCTCCAGGCTCCACTGCAATACACATTAATAATGATAATTTCTTTGCTTTTTTTAATACAACACAACACTGTGCCTGCTGGTTTTGAACATTGCAGCACTCTAAACAGATGTTTTCTATGAGCTCTCCACAATGGTATATTGGGGGAGGGGGAATGGGGAAGGATTTTTCTCTGTCGTTACAGCAAATATCCTTTTCACAATCCAAATAAATCAACCAGCTCGTCTTTCTCCAATTATTTATTGTGCTCTAAGGATCCTAGCAGACTGGAACAGCATATATTTTCTTTACAGAAACTAGGCCTGTTTAATAATTTCACATGTTCTAGACCTCCTATCTAAGGCTGCTTGCAGACGTTAAAAAAAACCAAACCCACATTTTACTGAAAGAAGCAGCATATTACTCAGCTTGGCTCTGCAGCATCTGTAAAATTGGGTGCTTCAGTGGGATTTTTGGCACTTTTATCTAAAGCTGATTCAATCAGCTATAAAATAAGAGTGCCAAAACAGCCCCACTAAAGCGCCAGATCTTTACAAACATTGCAGAGCCAGGTTGAAGTAATGCATATCCTCTTCTGGGTATGCATGGGGCTCAGCATGGGAACGTGCCGAGTTTCAAGTAGAGCACTGTTTTTGGGGTTTTTTAACATCTGCAAGCAGCCTAAGATTTATGGCTTCGTAATTTCCAAGGTCATCACACATGCTTTCTGTTTTAAAGATATGTGAGTTTCCTGTCACCTTATGTGGTAGCTAATTGCAAGAAAAAATTGTGTATTTTTGTTAGCAGCTGTACCGCTTCATATTTTTGGTCCTCCTGAACACCTTGGACAGTACCATATGCGTGACCTATTGCAATTCAAAGGATCTAGTTGCTACATCACTGATTTTTTTGACATTACAATCTAGGATAGTACCTCATCCTTACTGTCTGCAAAGACTAGCTCTGGCTTAGGCATCTCTACTACACACGATTACCTGTTTGCTTCTCTAACTTTATCTCTCTCAGTCTAACAGACTCATTGATTTGCTTGCAAGTTTCCTTATTTATTTTGCATTTCTTTGGCTATTTCCAGATTCTCTCTTCACTGGCCCTAATTGAAGTTCCTTTCTATTGCCTTCACATGAGCTATGTTTTCACTTTCTTAAAGATATCTTTATAGTTCAAATTGACTCTTGTGTTTTCCAACATGCCTGTTCCATTTTATCTTGCTTCCACGTTTGTTTGGGGGCACGCATGTCTTCTGCTCTGGTTGCAAAAGAAGCCTGTGCTCTGATCCTAAGTACTTCATGTCACTTGTCTTCAGCGTTTACATAGTCAGCTTTGTTTCAGCTTTTGAAAAGAAATCCAACTTAGGCTAATGCTGATGTAACCATGTTTACGTCATACATGCTTTGTTTTGATTATATGAGACTGACGAGGGGACTGGGGCTGATGAGGGGGCTAAAGACATGAGCCCTAGGTTGAAAAAGTCAACTATTCAAAAGCGAGGATAGAGTTAAGCTTACCCTTGAAACCATAACTCCCATCCCTACCATGTATGCAGATATTACATCCCCTCTGACACAGGAAATGACATGTATTATGGAACAGTTTGACCTATGGGACGTAGAACTGAGCAGCAGAACCAGAACCAAAACTCAGGTTTCTGGGCCCTGATCTCTTGCTTTAATAAAATAAAAAACATATTTTCTCTCCTTGCAAACCCATGCTTTAGTCACTGTCCTTCTTGTGCAACAAATGAAGCTAGGCTATTTTGACAAAATACGTGATCATTAAATCAAAGGCCCTCCACTAATGAATACATAAAAGCATCTGAATAGAATGGTCTTATTTCTGACATTTCCTAACAAGAGCACCTGACATTTGCAATATTAACACTCTTCTGTTGCAGATGTTTTTTGAAAAAATAGTTTTCTTGTGGTTATTTTTATAAAGAAAACAGAAAACCATCATGTAGAGCCACACTGACCTCTGCCTGGCCAGCAGCAGAGTCTGAACCCAGGGCCCTTAGATCTAACCCCTAGACCTTTCCATTTGAGATGGAAGAATAACTGACAGTAGCAGTACTCCGTTGTTACCCTCTGCATGGACTAACTTATGGGACACTGTGACATGTTTTGCCAGTGCCTTTCACACCTATCTGCAAGACAGCATTAAAAGAGTATGAATCAGGATTTGTGGGGCCTAATCCTGGCTTTGCAGTGAACAGTAGCGTAGGGCACAGCCAAGGACGTATGTGTGGCATATTCAATCTGAGTAGCTGAGACAACAGTCTGTCCTAGTAAAAAACCAGGGCTGTTATACAGGTCTCTTATAAACAACTTTGTGCAAGCTCTGTTAACCTACTACAGGGATGATATTTCCTTGCCTGTGACAGGAGCAGTACAATGCCTTCCTTGTGAAAAAGAGCTGTCAAGCACACAGAATTATTAACGCCAGTCAATAGAAAAGCTGAGAGATATCAGTCTATTTCTGGCTTCTAACCAAGCTTTCCTTCCTCTGGGCTAAAGAGGCAGCTGCTACTACTATGTCCCAGGTGGACATTATCCAACATGGGGCTTTTAAGCATGCCCAAGGGGATGAAAAT